AAATCATACAAAAGTCGACACGTTAATTGGCTTTTGGCAAAAGGCCATATTCGTATTCTCGGTATTGGACTGGGACTAGCTTGCAAGTGAGGCTAACATTAATATTCCCCCGCATGAGCCTCCATTGCATGCTAGTTCCAGTCTACCTGACAAAATTATCCCTAAAACGTGCATTATAACAGATTACAACGTTAACAGATGCATCCAAAATTGAAAAAAAAAATCATTGGCCTCTGCTAACTGTAACTTACAATATTATCCCTAAAAGGCACAGAAGGTCCACCATGACAGGTGCAACTCTAAAGAAGATGGAAACTGCTTGTTTGAGCTGTCTGTTGTTGAAGGGAAGCCGACAGAACACAGCCAGGCTTGATAAAGTGGTTACATAGTCTCTGAACCAGAAGAAGTTTGGATAATTGGTGTACCACACAAAGTTAGAAGAGAAAGCTAGCATCACCTAAATGTTCAGAAAAAAAGAAAATATGTAGACACCCATACGATTTGTAAGGTGGCTCATAAATATATAACACCTTTCAGTCTTTGGCATTCTGTGACAACTACACTAATCATATTAGCGAAATGCTCCTAGCATGGCATTTTTACGTCACTATTATAATAAATTAGAAACCATGTGGGAGGGGTTCAAAGCCACGTTATTTATTCATAATCTCAAGGTGACGCGGAATGTTACTTATTGTATTTAGTTCAAAGTGTGTTGAAAAGTACATTTTGATGAGATTATCGATAATGAGAGTTAACTACGAGATCTGCTGTTGGCCAGCGGATGATCGTTGTGGGCATGCGTAGTTGTGACATTGCTGTGCAGTTTTGCCCTCGTGGTTTTGTTCTGCCTTGCTTTGTCGCTTTCAAATACTTTTAGCAAAGTTATTAGCCTCAAAAGGTTCAATATGGTGTGTATTCGACCTCTTTTGACTTTGCCATGGTAACAACCCTTGAGGTCATACGAATTTGGTTAGCTTTAATGGAGTACGTAATCGAAAAGGTCTAAAGTATTATGAGCCACCGTGCAAATATCCAAATGAACAAGGGAAGGGACAGCAGGGGGTAGGCAGAAGAACAACAGCAATGAAATGCTGTATCGCTTACCAGAAAAAGGTCCATTATCTCAAGAGGTTCTAGAATTCGTCTTCCTACAGCAAACAGTCGCGTGGCGCCTTCAAACTAGAAAACACAAAAACACCCCTATAAGGTATATAGATTTGCGGATAAAGCCTCAGTGTGAGACAACTCTATCGAAAGCTGTCTTGCCCACAATAGACAAAGTTTATCTAACAACATAACATTTTGAATTCAAAAACTAATATTTCTAGGAAGATTTAAAGGAAAAGTATGGTATTCCCTAAGACAGGTTAAATGGTTTCTAGGCCAGTAATTTTAAAAAACACAGATGAGTTAGCGATTTTCACCTACACACAAACAGACTTACCAAGAAAACTGTCACAATTATACTCCTGAGCACTGAAAAACGAACCAAAAAATATCAAAGACGTTAACTACAAAATACTTTCCAGAGATGGGAACAAATAAACTAATTACGTAAACGCAGTTTAACATACCTACATATCAATTTAGTTTAAGAATCAGAGCTCAAGGCCAGATGACTCATCCCTCCTACAAGCGGTGATCACACTCTCCCTCCCTCCCTCCCTCCCTCCCTCTCTCTCCCCTCCCTACATCCCATACGCCCACCTTTCAAAAAAAAATATCACAGGTTATCCCTCCTGGTATCTCGGTTACTGCGCATGAGGTAGCTTGGAAACTGGTCACTCCCAAGCCGGAGGGGACTCAGACATTGTAGGTTATCCCCTGGGGATGGGGAGTTACCCCCCGGGATGGGGGTTATCCCCCGGGGAGGCGGTTATCCCCTGCCCAAACTATTTGGTCAGGTTGTCATAACAGTTTGATTGAGACACATTATTTATGAGAGGATTGGCTGCAGACACCACAGAGGTGCACTGCAAAAATAGAAGCTTATTTTCAAATCAAATACCTCTACACAATGACAGACGGATAATGCCTTAATTTGCAATGACAACAAACCTTGTACTATTAATTCAGTCTCCAGATCTTGTCCTTTCCATTTAAAGGCAAACAGGATGCTGCATGACGTAAAACACAAATGTCATCATATATTTTTTAGGGGCATTTTCAAATGACGTCACGGCAGACATATTTGTGTACTCAACGAATAAAATTTTTCTGCTCAACCTATTATCTTGTGAAAAGATGCAGCAACGTGGCCGCCAAAAAAATGCTGTACATGGCTAAATTAATTATTAGGTCATTTGTAGGGTGTGTTTTACAAACATCGTTTATAATTATTTCTGGCCATTGACTAAATAGTGCGGATAAGTGAGAGTATTTCTGATGTTTGCCATGGGTATTTTGGCTCAACTACGTATCACCAAAATACGAACCATGGCTCGACCAAACTAGCCTGATATGCCGCCGATACGTACCAAAAACGAACGATTAGGTATAATAAGTGACTATACGTGAAACGCCTGCATTGCTTTCAAACAGTCGAACTGTGGTAAGTGACGTCTACTGTAACTTCACTAAGCAACGACATGGGTGACCAGCTTCTGGACATCTCCCTACATTCTCATTTATTCGTCCTTTATCAAGGCTTTAACAAGAATCAATAAGTTCTTCGAAATTGATTTTGCTATAGAAATTAACGCTATAAGCGAACGACGTTTCGACCGTTCAACGGCCATTTTCAAGTATGCATACCATTCGCATTAAGCTTTTTTTAACTTTTTATCGCCTCTTGTTCCATACACATATTTTAACGTTTTTAACCATACATTTATGCATGTTATTTTATTCTTTTACCGAGCTTGAAAATGACCGTTGAAGGGTCGAAACGTCGTTCGCTTATAGCGTTAATTTTTAAAACAAAATTTAACAAGAATTATAAAGAATAAAGTAGATTTCTTACCAGTGTAAAATGATCAGGAGTAAGATAAAATGTGAAAAGAATATGGACTGAAACGAAAGAAAAAGAACAGACTTAAAAGAAAAAAGTTCACAGTGGAACCCCATTAATACGGACACCAAAGGGACATGCAGAGGTGTCCCCATTATCCGGGTGTCCGCATTAGGTGGACTCTCTTAAGAGAAAATTTATGACCTCTTTAGTTGTCGGGACAAAGAAAACTGTCCGTTATAAGCAGCTGTCTGTAAAGCGGGGTTCCACTATATTTTTCAAGCCCATTAGTGAAGTGAGGCCCTTCCCGCCTATAACCTTATACATTTATGAAAACACATTGACTTAGAGAAAGACATCTCAATGTTGTGCTCAAAATTCCTTATATTAAAGTAAAGCTACACATGTATCATTTAACTTCAGGTGACTTCCGTTTAGTTCTTCATCTTAACAAGTAGTGATATGCCATGAATCTCTGTGGTGTACGGCCTGGTTGTTCAAAGCCCAATTACGATACGGGTAACCCAGGATTAGCGAGAATACTGGTTTGAGTTTTGTAACTTTGCAGTGAGGTTTTCTGTTTATA